ACAGCACTTTGGAGAACCAGATCCCTGCTGCTCCCTCCCCTCTCCAAGGCCTGGGCAGTTCCCAGGAGTCCTACGTGGCTTCCAAGCCCTTTTGTCTACACCCTTATTTGGCCCCGATGTCTCTCTTCACATCTGGTTTTCATTAATGTACGAAGAGCTCAAACGAGTCGCTCCCGCAGTGTCTCGTCCTGCATCCATCCCAGTCGGACCCCGTTGGCACCCATTGGGTTAGATGGGGCAGGAGGTGGGGTAGTTGGGTCTGTTGTTTTCAAGCTTTTTATATTATTTTATTTTGATTTTTTTTTAAAAAAATTTTTTTGTTTAACTCTTGCACCTTAATCTCTCACATCCCTTCTTCAGCAGACCGCGAGGGTGGAGAGGGGCTTGATTTCCATTACGCAGTTCATGAATATACCGCAATGCAACGTTCAGCTGACAACTCTGCCCACGCGCCTAACCCCAGACCTGTCCGGGTTTGAATTTTCTTTTCCCCCTTCATTTAAACTCTGGGGAGGGAGGGAGTCATGTGGGGAGGGTCATTTTTGGTTTATGTATATCCCAGGAGCCTGGTAGCACAGACCAGTTAGCCTCATAGTGTCCATGAGGCATGGCTGGCCCTTCGGACCACAGCCATAACCCCAGCGCGGTGGGAAGGTGATGATGGATGGACGGCCGGCAGGTGGGAACGGCTGTGACAGTGCAATAGAGACGAGCATCCGCTGCTAGACAACTCCACTGATTAAACTCTTGGTTTGCCCGAAGTCGAGAGGGAAGGACGGACGGACAGACGCCCTTTGTTCACACGGACGGAGAGAGCTTCCCCAGACACAGCCCTACCTAGTGACACGTAACCATGACGGGAGTTGGGTCGAACTTGCAAAAGAAGAAAATAATAATAATAAAAAAGGAAAAAAATACGAGTAAGAACAACCTCAGTAGTATGGAACTTGCAGGAAATGAATGAAACCCCAAGCACTTGCCTCAAAACTAGTTTCTCATGCCTGGTGTTCGGCTTTGTATTATTTTACGGCATTCAGTATCGGTTGCCCAAACATGCCAAGTTAAGAGTGTATCGGTGGCTCTACTAGTGTGAACAAACTAAATGAAGCACTTTATTCTGTATAGATAAGGGAAGGCGGGGAGGGGAAGCTTGGATGCTTTTCAAAAGCGTCTTAAGTAATGTTCTAGGAAATGTATTATTATTACTTTTTTTTATGACCATGTGTAATCAATATATGTTTATCTTTAACTCCAAGTACAGCAGTTACTCTCTTTGGGATGGTGTGTTGAGGGGGAGGCTGAGATGGTCGGCTTAGTGCATCAGCATGAGGCCAACTGGGCCACGTCATTGCTTACCGCAGGAACGGGCAAGTCTTGCTTTGTTGACAGCCCTGTTGGCCAATGTCCGGGAGGTCCCCAGAGGTGCATCAAAGCTGCCTTCCAGGGTACAGCTCACAGTCAGCCTTGGCACCAAGGGCCCAACATGAATCCCCATCCTGAGCCATCTTCTGCCTGGGGGTGCTGGGGCAGCTCTCTGGGCCACCCACGAGCAAGATGAGTCACAGTAGGCTGTTTTGGGTTGTCCCTAGAGGCCAGGTCCTTGGCCATGCTTTGAAACCTGCTTTTGGCCTCTCACCAATGCACGTCAGGGGTCATTGAACTCTTAAAGTGGTGAGAGGTCAGAATTGGGCCTTTCCACTGCGTTCTCCCAGTCTGGAAGTGTTATGACTGTTACCAAAGAGGTTGCAAGTGGAAGGACTGAATCAATAAACGATTTGTCTTTTATAAAAGAAAACCTAAAGGTCCACCACTTTCTTTGTTACCTTAGTATTGCTTTTTTCCCTGTTTTTTTTTTCTTCTTTGTTTAAAATCTCTTTTCAGGCAATGTGCGAGGAGTCAGAGGCCGGCAGGATGGGCTTCCCATGGCATGTTCACCGCTGCTATTGCATCACATTTATAGCCTTTATGTTGGGTTGGGTGGGTGTGTGCATGTGCATGAGGCTGCTGTAGGGCAAACAAAAAATAGCTTTTCAGGGAAGGGGGATAAGTGGGTGGAAGAAGGGGCTTGGTGAGGGCTGAGCTCCTGTGTCCTACTGGCTCCATGAGATTTGTGTGAGCTATGAGCTGGGGCTCCCTGAGTTCCTCTGTAAGCAGCGGAGAAACCAAGGAGCCCATCCAAAAGCACCCAGTGCCTTTATTGATATAAAATGGAGCTATGGGAACCTCGCCAGATAACATCAGCTGATATTGGGAAGCTAATGGAAGAAGAGATGATTCCCCCCCACCCTTCAGATGTACCTACTCTGCTGCTGCTGGCATTGCCCAGAGAAGGTACCCACGGGCGACCAGTGCCACTGGAACTATGTGCACCTGAGCCAGGAAAACACAGAGCAGCAGCAGGGAGTGATGCCTCTCCGAGTATTCGTGTTGTCATTTCATATCTGTGATTGCCTTTGGACTGGAGCAGCCTCTTGGCAAGGTGGTGGTGAACATCTCAGGGCCAGACTTTCGCTTGGCGATGCGCTATTTTGCTGCCTTCCTTGGGCCAATGCTGGCTTGCACGTGCTGAGATCTGGCCCTCGTTGCTCAAGTGATGGGATACTTCAAGCTCTTCTGGGTCCTTTTATACAGCAATTATTTTTCCTTTTAGGGTCTGTTGTCCTGTGCCAGCAGTGGCATCTACAACTTTATAATGGATGTGAAACGTGGGAGCACTAAGCTCCTATTAACTGTATTGCAGATGGACAGTCGCAAATTGAATGACCAAGGATGGGAACCAGTCTTAATTGATCTTTCTTAAGCCATTATCTAACAGCTCATCAAGGCTCAGCAACATTCCCCTTGACTTCAAAGGGCCCAGATTTCCCCCAGGAGACCCAAGCAATGTGGTGGTGGATGAGGATTAACCCTCTCTTAGGACCAAGTGTCAACAGTTTTCCATTCTGCACATCCAGCAAGAAGAGCCGAAGCAAAAGTGTTGGTGTCCAATCCCAGGCAGGAGGTGGTATCCTGCCACCGCAATAAATGACTTTTAAAAAATTACTATTCTATGCACGGATTATGTTTTTCTTCTTCATTTATCTCTTCTGCCACAAGCTATTCTATATTTGGTAGATTGATCTTCAATTATCTTGGGAGTCATCCATGGGAATTTCTGCAGATCTGGGTAGAAGGTGAAATTTTTTTTTTCAGTGTATTTTTCACACATTTGATTGTTTCAAAAGTTTTTGTTGAAAAAAAAAAACAACTATTTTGTGCCAGCCAGTCACCTTGGATTTATTTTTCTTGTGAAAATGTTTCATTAGTGTTCTGATTTGATTGTCCTCTAAGGAGATTATCCTGTAACTTTTTAAATCGTTAAAATGAAACCAGGACAAGACTCTGGTTCCTTTACCCGTGCCAAATTGTCTTTCCTTCTAAACATGTTTTAGCTTCTCCACGACTGCATTTTGAGCCAGATGAGTCAGCCAGATATGATTTTTAATACCATAATTTTCATGCCATTTTGAGGATATTATTTTGCAAGGTTTGTATTTGATCTATTTTATTATTATCACTCCTGTTCATGGTATCATGGGATCATGTAGGCATCCAGCTTCCTTCTAGTCCTAGGTAAGCTTCTAGTCCTTGTATCTATGGACAATAGCTGTAAGGATAAGAATGCTAAAGTTTCAGCTCCAAAATGGGTGAAAATAAGAAGGATAAAAGCTGGGTCTGTGCGAGGGCTCTCCATGGGACTGGTTTGCTGTGTGTGTTCATCGCAGCTTTTCCTTGGTCCTTGTGTTTGGTTGCTGTGGACATTCAGTTACAGCTCTATCAACATGCAAACACGGGGGATTTCTTTTGAAACAGCCTAATAATTTATTTTTAAATAAACCACTGGTCAGATGGTGTGGGCATCAGGAGATTTTTGCTCTAGCAGATCTTTGTCCTGCTGCCAGTACAGTCATGTTTCTATCAAAACATCATTATGGATAACTTAAAAAAAAAACACCCAATGCATTTTTTCCTCAGTAGGAAGCTCTCTCTGAGCCAAACACATCTGAGATCTCCATGTATTTAGCAAACTAGAATACTCTTTAAAAAAAAAAAAAAAATCAGAAAATTAAAAATAAGAGAAACAGCATAAATATAAAACCTTTCCCTGAAAAACAGCACTTGTCTAACCATAGCTGAGGACATTGTAATCTGTGATTGAAGACGATAAGCCCAAAAGACGAGATGAGTGCACATGGCCCCCCCGCCTGTCTCTCCCCCCCTTTCCTACCCAACCACTCACATAACTCTTCCGCTTCTGCAGACCTTAGCTCCTGGTGTCTCTTCAGTCCAAAGCCAAGGTGGAGGCAAAAAAACTAAGACTATTTTATTTTCATTGTAACTTCCGAAGTGTTTCTGCTGCCCACGCTCACAGCTCTTTTAACTGTCACATCCCAACAACCTTCATCATCCGGGAACTCATCAGACTCCCTCCATGTCTCTCCTGTACCACTTGACTTTGACCCTTCTCTCCAAGGTAGGCTCTAGCACCATGCTAACAGCTGCCTCAGGTGGGGAAATACTTCATAGACCCCCTTTCCCTGGGGAATGTCAGCTTAGTCCCTTGGGACCCGCTGTCTGCCTCCACTGTTCGTTGGGAAGGTTCAACAGCAGTTGAGAAGATGGAGAAAAAGGTGGATAAAGAAGCAGAACAAGACTATGATCTTTTTGTCCTGCCTACTGAGAGTGGAACAGGTCATTGCTCCATGCTTCTCAGTCTACCCCAGCTCCTTGCAGGCTCCAGATCCCTTCTCTAGTTATCTTGTAAGCATCTTCAAGTTCCCATAGGTCTTCAAGATAATTTTCCCCCTTTCCCATTTGATGAAGTAAAATAGTACTAATCACAGATGCAATGTCCTACCAAGTATCCAGATGCCACATCTCTGCGCTGATAATTGTGGCTTCATCTCCCCCCATCCCTCCTTGCCCCAGATCCCCATGGAAAAAAAATAAATCACGCCTTGTTACATCTTTGTTAGGCGCAGAACATTGAGGCGCACAGGAAGGAAAGTGGCACCGGAGGCATACTGGATCTCCCGGAGGACCCCTTCCCACTTCTTCTGCTCTTCATCATATCTGGGGAGAGACAAACAGACAGTTATGGTGAGGAAAACATCTCCTCTCCCTTGCTTCAGCTGCTCTCCATACTGGTGGGAGCCCTGGTGCATGATGTGATGTCCCACAGACATTATTTGGCCACAAGATATCTGTGGGAGCTACATGGGGACTTCCAGTCCTGGTCTGCCCTGGTTTGCAGCGCCAGGCTAGTGGACATGGATATCAGCACGTGGTTGTGCAGGGGAGGGTATATTTTTCCATTGGTAAATGGATTGATGGCACCAAGACTGAACATCCATGGTGAAGGCCAGCAGGTGCCTGCTGAGGGTGCTCTAGAGCCACAGATGTGAAGGACAGGAGCAGCTACGTCGGAAAATGCTTTCTGCTCACTTCTCTGCTCGCATGTAAGACTATCTGCTTTCCAGCCTGAGCACTGGCTTTTCCCAAGGAGAGCACACATTCCACAAACACTGCTTCACACCAAAGGGGAGGTCTGGAACCAGCTCCAGGCAAAATGTCGATGCAGAAACAAAGTGAAAGTAGCTGGTATGTTGCTGTATGAGGCTGGGAGAGATCACTGAATCACCTAATGTGCCCTCCAGCACAGCACAGGGCAAACTTCTCACCCAGGGACCCTGCACTGAGCCTGCACCCTTATGCTGGAGTAACAACATCCATCTGACACTGAAGGCATCACGACAGACAGAAACTATCTGTTCCCTCACTGGCTCTCACTAACATCCCTCCCATGCTCCCTTGGGCAGCCCTGGGTCAGATCATCACCTCCAAATGTCATTCAGCTCCGTTGGCACCAACTCTCCCGACTCCGTCTCCACCGTGGCGAACCCTCCAAGCAGGTAGAGCACCCCAGCCAAGCTCACCAGGCTGACCGAGCTGCGCTCCTGCAGGAACTCAGTGAAAGTGTCCCACCTGCCATGTCAAGAAAGGGGATGTGTTAGGGCACCCTGCCTACTGTTGCGCTGAGGCTGGCCTTGAATCAGGAATCTACAACTAAATTAACTGGTGACAGATTAACATGTGTAGGTCTACATGGGATGGGATCATACATTGACGGTTGTTAGAGATTTCCCCATCATCATAGTTCAACTTCATTTGTCACTGAGTAGATGAGCTGTGAAGCACACCTGACATGGACCAGCAGGTCCCAGCAGTGGGACTGCAGCTGCAAGGCCCGCCCAAAGTCAGAGTCTATTGCGTTGGGTGAAGCTGCCAAGATAAAGCTACAGCCCTGCAGCGAACCCAAGGGCTGCACCAGTTGGTGAAACTGCTTTGAAGGTGAGCCTGAGATGATCCACAGCCCAGCTGCAGTGGCATTGGTGATGTCCAGCTGTCCAAAGAATGCAGACTATGAGGAACCAGTATTGGGAGCAAGCAAACTCCAGAATGGCTGGAAGTTGTTTAATATACACCTGCAGCTGCCCCTTGTGTAAGTATGCCCTGAAAGTGTGCTGAAGTACATACTTGTTAGTGGCAATGTCATAGACTTCCACTGAGTTGGTCAAGCCGGAGTCAGTCACACCAGCTGCCACGTAGATTTTGTCTTTGTGCACAGTGGCTCCGAACAGGGACCGGGCAGTTTTCATGGGAGCTAGCTCCTTCCACTCAAACTTGGATGGGTTGTAGACACACATCTTTTTCAGGCACTTCCTAGAGAAAGATGAGGGAGAGAAGGAGCCTTGATCTCCTGCTGAGGGGCAGCTTTGCACTGCAGGAGTTGGGGGATGTCTGCTGGGAAGAACATGGGGTGTCTAGAAAGGATTTTGCTCCTCCACATCAGCATGAGTGCCTTTGCTTGGGTGTGCACCCAAGGATGCCCATGCCTGGAGACATCATTTGTGTGTATAACACATCCCCTCCTTGGGTAGAAGTCCTAAAAGCTTGACATTGCGTTCACACAGCTGGACAGGGGTCCGTGTAGCTATCTGCCTCTCAGGACCTTGCACACAGCCATCAGACAGTGTTCCAGTGCTCCCGATCCAACTCGACACTGAAATACCATCAGTAACACGCCGTGTTTCCCAGCATGACAATGTAAGGTGGGTGAGTGTATGCACACTCACACTGTTCAGACCATAATCCCATCAGAGCAGGACCTGTTCTTGCTGGATTATGGCACGTTTGCTCTGCAAACAGTCACACTTCAGGCTTGCAAAGAAATCACTGCAATGCTCCGCAAGAGAGACTTTTTCTACTGAGCCCATCTCCTGTGGGAGGGCAGCATGGGGGTCAGGTTTGATGAAGTTTTTCACCCCTGTTACAAACACCCATCTGTATTTGACTACTAGAACCACGCTGCCCCACAAGTCCACGACAGTAGACCCTCAATGTGAAGGAGCTTCCTGCTCTTCAGCGTCTCTCCCAATCTGTGGGACATTTATTTATTGTGAACAACAGGGATGATATGTTCCCTCTCTCACAAGGACAGTGCCATCTCCTCGATGTCCCTGTAGGACTCCTAATGGCTTTGGAAGGGCTGCAGCCACACATCTGAGCTGAGAGGGAAGGATCCACATAGAATCATAGAATCGCAGAATGGTTTGGGTTGGAAGGGACCTTAAAGCCCATCTCGTTCCAACCCCCCCTGCCATGCACAGGGACACCCTCCACTAGACCACGTTGCCCAAAGCCCCATCCAACCTGGCCTTGAACACTGCCAGGGATGGGGCAGCCACAACCTCTCTGGGCAACCTGTTCCAGTGCCTCACCACACTCACAGTAAAGGATTTCTTCCTAACATCTAATCTAAATCGACCCTCCTTCAGCTTAAACCCATTCACCCCTTGTCCTGTCACTGCACTCCCTGATAAACAGTCCCTCACCATCTTTCCTGTAGGCCCCTTCAGGTACTGGTAAGCCACAATTAGATCTCCCTGGAGCCGCCTTTTCTCCAGGCTGAACAATCCCAACTCTCTCAGTCTGTCCTCATAGCAGAGGTGCTCCAGCCCTTCCAATCTCACACCCCTTCCAATCCTCCTTAACCCACAGCATCCAAGTTGGGGAGGTACCAACTCATGCTCCCTGCATTTCTCTTGCTTTTTGACATACTTGTCACTTCCTTTGCCACCGATGACGTAGACGAGATCCTTGTGCGATACCACTGCGTGGCCATAGACTGCGTAGGGAAGGGAATCGGCTTCACCCCACTTGAAGGACCTGGATCAGAGAAAGATGAGATGCAAAAAGGATTTGTAGCTTGCTGGGTGAGGCCTAGAGTATATGGCATTTTCCAGACCTAGAGGCGAGCACAGATCCTGACTCAAATCTCAAAAATATGAGGTTTCCAATGAGATAGGGCTCACCTAGTAAACTTCATGATCCTAAAAAAGAGGGAAAATAAAAAAGCAGAACGTCTATGCTTAATATTCATTGTTTTCCCCTACTCTTGGGCTATGTGGATACACATCCTCACTTCTCCCAGGACCTCACCTCGTATACAGGCATTACCAGCTAGACACAGATGAGACAGACATTTCTGAACTATGTAAAAAATTAAAGCCAATGTGACTTAGGGGTGCAACATCATGAGAACAAATTTCTTTTTTGGCCATTGCCTTCCACTTTCAGGTGCAATGGTTGGCCAACACTCATCAAGGACCCATGGGAGGGTTATGTCCACATTTTGCAGTGCAGGGCTGTGTTGAAGGCTCTTAGCTAGCTCCAGGGCAGGTGAGCAGGGGATGTAGCTGTAAGGTTTTGGAAACCCCAAACTGGTGCCCAAATAGGGCTGACTAATTTCTCAAGAGATATCTGTTCATGTTCATGTAGCTTAGACTCATGGCCAGTTGTCATACATGTAGGATATAGTCCCAAAGACCTGCACTTTACCTAAGAACTGAGATACCTGGGCTCCGAGTGTTTTCTAATTGCCCAACCACTCTGGGCAAATATTTGATCCCATAGACCAGCAGTTTGCCCTTTCCAGTCTTGTTATAGTTGAAATCTTGATCTAAATAATACTAGAAATACAGGTGGTGCTGGTCACACCTCTACCAGCTTCAAATCGGTATTCAAAGCACCCCCTGAGCACTTAGCGGGGGCAGACACGTCCTTTCCCAGAGTGTGCAGGGACAGATAAATGCCCCGTTCTGTGGGAATGAAACTGGTTTCAAATCTCTGCCTATAAAACAGACTTTGAAGCACATACACATCTAAATCTAGACTCAGCAAAGGCTTAACACCTACTGTTCTGCCTCTTTGGGGCAGAGAGGAGCAGTCTTTGGATGTTTCTGCTTCCTGTGAGCAGAATGGGATGGTGCCTTTTAATAAAGCTCATGACATAATATGGGTCAGAGCCCATTGTGCAAAAATAATTGTATATTAAGCCTGATATCTCTCAGAGTGGCCCATTCAGTGCCACATCTGAATACTTTCAAAACAAACTTTCCTGCGCAAAGTCATTCCTGGTGAGACCACAATGAAGGTCACTGAACCTCCAAACTGATGGGCAAGAGCAGCTTGCTGCTCTGTACAGGTCCCATGTGAGCATCTGCTAAGTTTGGTCCCTGATAACATAGTATCCCCATTACGGCTTCCATCTCCTGGAGGTTCAATTACCATAAATGAAGCAGCTGGAGAGGTACAGCTCAGAGCCCCAGGGTACAGCTTGAGAAAGTGGTTCCAGTATCTAGATGTAGAGTTTGAACCCTGTCTCCAAAACCTTTGAGTCCCTGGAGACCTGGAGTCATTTTGCATGGCAGCTGCTTTGCCTTCTCCTGTCAACCACCACCCTCCCCACACTCGCATGTGAACACTTACAGCCGGTCATAGCACAGGACTGAATCCAAGGTCTTTTCTCCCTCTTTCAGTTCTTTCCCTCCGATCACAAAAATGGAGTTTTCTGCCTCTCCCAGGCCAAAGAGGCAGCGAGGGGATGGCAGGGGGGGCATCCCCAGCCAGTCTGCATCCAGATGGTCGTACTGAAAGGGAATACGTGGTCATTAGTGTGTGTTCACCCGGCCTATTTGCTTAGTAAAAATTGAGGTCCAGAGGCTGAGGGCAAAGTTCCTTCCTACATGCATCTTGGTCACCCCAGTAGGCACTTTCTGCAATGTCAGTCTCTGCTTGTGCCTTACCATCTGCTGCAGGATGGGGGATCTTAGTGCAAATCCAAGTCATATGTCATATGTTTTATGACAAGGCATAACAGCAGAGATGCACCAGCAGGAATATTTTTGCTCTGTGCACCAAAGCCTTGACTTAGAACAAGCTTGGTAATCTTTGGATGAGACTCTTATGTTGGACCTATAACGGATAGTTCCTGGGACTGGAGGAGCTGAAGCACTTCCATCTTAGAAATTTTGCCTGAACCTCTTCAGCTGTAGCACATGCCACAGTATTTAATCCTGATATTTTCCAACTCTGCCAGGTAACAGGCTGGTGTTGGCAATGTTGGCTACAGACCTCACTCCCCCGAGCCCCTTCTTTTCCCACCAATTTTTCTTCTTTCTGGCAAGTGATCACTTACCATGTCCCTCCTCTGCTTCTCAAGATATTGATGTTGTCCCATATCACCTCAGTGTGTGTGAGAGTTCATGAGATGAAACGCATGTGTGCCTATCTGCACGAAGGATATTTACACAATACCTATCATCTACCCAATACGGTACAACACAACTGAGATGGTGCTGCAAAGCCCAGAGCTCTTCTTGCTGGCCAAAGTGTGCCAGAGCCCCATCTGATAGATGGGAAAATGAATCCATACAGTGCTACTAGATCAGATGGCCAAATCCTTGCAAATCCTTGGATGTCTGTAGAGGAAGGCATTGCCTCATCTCCCACCGTAAAAAAAGATGTGAAAGGTTATGAGGCTGGGAGCTCTCTGGGCACCATGGTTTGATGGGACCTGTAAACTGGGGCAAAAAAAATTTAATGTAGCTCGCTAGCAGAAGAGGGACTTTGTGGGTTAATTCTGGAGTGATGTCTTACAGCCAGTTTGGCAGGACTCTGCAGGATGAAGCTGTGATGCATCATTGCCTGAAGCACTGTTTGCTATAGGCTTGGGCCAAAGAGCTTCAGCTTGCTGGGTTGCCTCCAAAGACTTGGCTTCAGCTGGGTGCCTGTGGTTATTGTCTCTTTGTAAGTTGTGGTCCACATATGTGTTATTTATAGCACAAGCCCAAGCAGCCCAGTTACCAGGATAGTTCCTGCTTCTTGATGGATTCAGCATTGTTTTAAAATCATAAATCTTAGAAGTGACAAATAAAGGATACCCTTTTCCATCCGAAATGTCAATAAAATCATTTTGTTCCTCCTAAATTTGCAAGGCCTCTGGGATTTATCAGCATTTATATATTTTGTTGTCTGTCCTTAAGTCTAAACTAACTTTCCTTCAGCAGGAGGAATGTGAAATCGAGGAGGCCGGAAGCAGAGTCAGAAGGTGTAAGATGCTGCTGCACTGACACGGTGATTCAAGGGTCCATCACACAGCTGCCTGTATACGTATATGTGAAGTTTCAGCTGAAAAAGGTTCAGAAGACTCTCTTACTGATACAGGAACCATGAACTATGTAATGGCACTGATGGCAATGAATTACACCTTTGCAAATTGATGGCACCTTCCAGCCCTGGGACTTGTCTGCACCTCCCATGCATGAGTGCCACAGCAAACTGCAAAGGGACCACTGCCCTCTACTTGTGGGGAAGGAGGCCACACGATGTCCAAGGCATTTGCCACTGAGTCAGTGGCAAAATGGGAGCTGAATATAGAAATCTTGCTGTTTGCAGCTTAAAATCACAGAGTACTTTAGGTTGAAGGGACCTCCAAAGGTCTTTCATCCAGCCCCCCTGCTCAAGCAGGTGCAACTTTGGAGTTATGGCAGGTTGCCAGGGCTTTGTGCAGTCAAATATTCAATGTCTCCAAGAATGGAGGTTTTGTGACCTCTCTGGACTCCTGCTCCAGTAGTCCACCACCTCCATTGCGAAGGTTTTCCTCCCAGCTAACTGAAATGTCCTTTACTGCAACTCCTGGCTATTGCTTCTTGTCCCATCTTTGTGCAAATCCAAGAAGAGTCTGGATCCCTCTTCTGAGTCCCCTCCTATTAGGGAGCTGCAGACACCAATGAGATCTTCCCTTCCCCTTCTCCAGGCTGATCAAATCCAGCTCAGACACTCTGCTTGTACCTCCCGTTCTCCAGCCCAGACCATCTTGATGGCCTCTGAGGTACTCATTCCAGTACCTCAATGTCTCCCTTGTACTGGGGAGACCCAGACTGGACACAGGATCCTGATGTGGTCTCACAAGTGTATGACCAAAAAAAAAAAAAAAAATCACTTCCTTTGACCTGCTTGGTGCAGTTGTACAGAAACAGCCCAGGACATGGTGGACCTTTGCTGCTGCTCAAGGAATTACCTTGCCTGGCCAACTACCAGACTGGTGGAGGATTGATCTCTAGGCATAGATTCCAGCTGAATATGAAGCAGCCCGTTTACCTGCTCTGCGCAGCTAAGTGATGGAGCTCGCCACATCTGCTGTTGTCATCTATTGTCCAGTGTGAAGGGCTATATCTCAAACAGCATGTCCCCCGGCACTCCCACTGCCTTCCCCCTCCATCCTGCTTTCTAGGGCTGTGGGTTCTTCTCATTTCATGGGCTTCACATGGACTGCATAGGCTTCAAAGCCTGACCATTTCCAGGTCAGGACAAGCATGGTCCCTGCACACGAATCAGATGTACAGCCCTACCCGTGCAACAAGGCAATGGAAGGATCAAGGAAGGTTGTATGTCTTGGCTTGGGAACTACCCTTACTTTATCCTTTCTGCCTGGACATGTTATTGTTTCTTCCCAGAAGATACGTGAGCCATGGGAGAAGAACAAAGGGATTTCCAGGTATGATGGGGAAGGACAGAGGATTTACTGTATTCCTACAGGGTCAAAAATCGTGCACTAGCTGTCTACAGCAAAGGTGCTCTTGGGTTACAGCTCAGGTCAGGGCTCAGATTGCCTGCACACAGATCAGTCTGATCACAGATTTGGTTACTGCTGAGTTAGAACAACCATTTTTCCTGTGGAGGATCCCAAAAGACATCACTCCACGGTTTCCCGCACACATGAAAGAAATGGCCAAAACAGAGACTCTGAGCTGGCAGTAGCACACCTCCAGGGGCAAGAACAACATGGGAAATGGGGCACATATTGGTGGGTAGGGACATACCCCATGTCCTTGGAGTGTTTGCTCTGTGGCTGTAGCTGCTGCCGTTTCTTTGTCGGCACCTGGCAGAGTCACCCTTGGGGTTTGCTGGGGGTTCACAACCAGGGAACATAAAGGATGCAAAGTGGACCCCAGACCTGATGCCACTAACCTTCCAGTTAGTGTGCCCTATGGCAGCCAGGACTGGACCAAATGCAGGGTTCAAAGTGGTCCCTATTCAGGATTTGGATCAGGAAGCCTTGTCTCGTTTCTTTGTCGGCACCTGGCAGAGTCACCCTTGGGGTTTGCTGGGGGTTCACAACCAGGGAACATAAAGGATGCAAAGTGGACCCCAGACCTGATGCCACTAACCTTCCAGTTAGTGTGCCCTATGGCAGCCAGGACTGGACCAAATGCAGGGTTCAAAGTGGTCCCTATTCAGGATTTGGATCAGGAAGCCTTGTCTCTATTACCTACTCCTTCAAGCCTCCTTCCTCAATGACCAGAAACCCCCCTCACTGGGATCTGCCTTAAAAATATAGAGAAGAATCTCTAGTAAAGCAATTCAGATGTTTCACCTTCATTTACAACTTTCGTTTTAACATCACATGACAATGAATATTACTGGTATCACATGGAAGCTAAAGACTGGTGATGCTGCAAAGTGGTCAAAGAAATCAAAGAAAGACAAAGCTAGTACCTGTAGGAAGTAGGAACTCATGGGGTCCTCCTTGCTGTCCTCATTGTAGTACAGTCCTCCAACAATAAAGATTTGATTCTCTTTGGTCACCAGACTGATGTGGTTCTTTGGGATTTGAGTAGACAGGGAGGCAAAATAACACTCGTTGGCAGTAGGATCATAGGCCACTGCTCCACTGTCGCTCACCATGAAAATAAGGTCCTGGAGGAACATCCCAAAGCGCATTGTGTCATTTAAGATCCCTGGGAGAGCATCCTCCTCTGTATCTTCCTCCTCATCTACTGCTCCATTGACAACATTGTCTTTTGCTTGCTTTTCACTGCTTTTCTTCACTTTCTTCTTCTTCACCACAGTGAATTTGCCTTTCTGGGCATCCTTCACCATCTGCAGTTTCTTGAGCAGCTCTGGGCTGGACTTCACCATGGCGTGCTTCTCCACGTGGTCCTTGATGTAGTCATTGGGTATGAGGCGGAAGCGGATGCTTTCAAAGATGACAGGCAAGGCCTTCTGCCGGCTCTCACGGTCCTTGGTCCCCACCCATTTCATCACTACTTCAAAGACAGTCTCCTCTTTCTCGATGTTGAGGGAGTCACTGGAGATGATTGCAATAAGCTCATCAGGGGAGAGCTGGTAGAACTCCTCGTCCCGAGAGACCAGTGCAAAGCGATCACAAATGAAATCCCGAGCTGCCACAGCAAGCCGGGCACAATCCAGCATCAAGCCCAGCCTGAAGATAGCCAAGCAGTTGCTGAGGCAGAGACGCTTCTGCAAGAAGGACACGCAGACGGTGAAGATGGAGGGGATTTGGAACATGTTGGCCACGGAGAAGATGTCCTGCACATTCTGCTCTGTGATCTCCAGCTCGGAGGTGTAGATATAATGGAGGATCTTGCCCATGACATCCGGATCAACGTCTTCCAAACTGACCTCCCTCTTCTTGCTCTCTTCCATGTCTGAGAGGAACATCGCTCGAAAATACGGGCTGCAAGCTGCCAGCACCAGCCGGAAACTCCTTCCCCTTGACTTTTAAGACACAGTCCAGAAACTTATTGTGGTCCAACATGTCTTTGAGTCCATCTTGGAGGAGAGTTTGCTGGTAGAGACGCAATTCTTCCACTTGATCAAAAGGCAAACCCATAGTGAAGAGTAACTGCTCCTTTTTTCCCAATCCTTTTTTATATATAT